TTATGATCAAATCAACTCTAATTACTTAATTTAATCATACGTAAGTTATATATAATCCAGGAGAATTAATTTGAATGAAAAAAGTTTTTATTGTTTAAATGAATGATTTCGAATTTGAATCTTTATATATATAAAAAACTTCTTAAGTAGTTGTATTTATCTTACGTTTGATTGAACAGTAAAAAATTATTTTGGACCGAGATATTTTATGAATAAAAATATACATAAAGAGAGAGGTACAATGCCAATTATAAAAACAAGTATAGACATTTATAAATCTGATAGTTTTCTTTAATAAAACAGATTTAATTGTTTTGCTTCCCTTTGATCATACAATTCAAAAGTAACACTTAGACTTAGGGAAAAAAAAAACTTAATAATCTAAGGAGTAAATTATAAATTAGTTACTTCTAGTTTTGCAAAATGAATTAAATAGTCCTTTTATTTTAAAAAAAATTAATTAAATAATTCTTATGTTTAATTTAATATTAATTTATTTTCAAAAAAACCTTCTTTTTCCAACATATCTTATATTTTTTATTTCTAAAACAAAAAATGCAAAATAAATTAGAAAAGGACATGGAATGAACAAAAGGAAATAATTAATTATTTTTTTTACTAAAAGAATTGTTTATTTATTATTCTTATTTTTTTTGGAAAAGTAGAAAGATTAATTATAATTTAATCATTATTCAAGCTTCATCAATTTATCACGTGAAAAGCATGAGCTTGTAACCTCGTCAAGCATATGGCAACTAAATCTCACCTAAACATTTTGTCATGAATCCACGTTTACATACAAATTTGAGGTTGGGAATTAGTCTTTGGGATAAATGATCTCATTCACTAGTCACGAATAATATTCCACAGAAGAAACTACAAGAACCATCAGTGGTCAAATCTGTCAACTTTGCAAGTAGTGGTACTAGAGATTTTTAGCAAACTTTTTCTTGTAAAGACCGAGTAAATATAAATCAGTCCCTCTAGTTTTAAGAAACAAATTCATGAGTTATCCTTGTTTCAAAAATTAGTTATTTAATCCTTTTGGTGCATTTTATGTTTTTTTTTAAAAAAAATAAAAAAAGTTCAATAGATATTATGAAAGGTCGGTGAGAAAAAAAATATTAAATTAAATGTGATCAATATTGATTAAAAAATTAATTTTTGAAACAGAATAAACTAATTAATTCATTTTTTTAAAACCAAGGGCCTAATTTATAATTTACTCCATTTTTTTTTACATCAAAGTCTGAATTGCCGACTTCAGCACATTGCATTGCAGGAACCACCCCACAATCAACATATATTATAAAATGCAATTTATTTTATTAATTATTTCGCCGACATTTCAGTTCCAAAAATTAGTTATTTAAGAAACAAATTAATGAGTTATCCTTGTTTCAAAAATTAGTTATTTAATCCTTTTGGTGCATTTTATGTTTTTTTTTTGTTTTAAAAAATAAAAAAAGTTCAATAGATATTATGAAAAGTCAGTAAAAATTAAATGTGACCAATATTGATTAAAAAATTAATTTTTGAAACAGAATAAACTTTTTTTTAAAGCTAAGGGACTAATTTATAATTTACTCCATTTTTTTTTCATCGTAGTCTGAATTGCCGACTTCAACACATTGCATTGCAGGAACCCCACAATCAGCATATATTATAAAATGGAATTTATTTTATTAATTATTTCGCCGACATTTCAGTTCCAAGTGGTGTCCAGAATAAAATATATTTAAGAGAAAATTATTCAACTGTTTCCTTTTTGAAAACAACAGTTGAAAATTTCTTATTTTAAATTTGGATTTTTTTTTTCGGTTTTTATCCCTTGCCCATCTTTCTATGAAATTTAGAAAAAGAGAAAAACGAAAAACGGAGACCGCAAAAATCATTTATATTTGTTAAACACCGAATAATTAATATTGAAATTCAGATCAGTATCTAGTTAATTAATTCTTAATGTAATTATAAAAAAAAGCAAAGGGATATCCTAAAATTCCTTTTCCTTTGGACCTAGCTGGATCTAGTTAGCTAGCTAATTAGTGTTCATGGTTCAAGTAGCTAGCAAATTTTTCCTCGTCTTTTTCATCCAAGGTCCACAAAATGGCCGACCATGCATGCACTAGTACTACTATTATAAAGTCAAAGGAAACATTAGATTAAGACAAAAACAGTTCAAATTTCTTTTAAATTTTAATACATTTGAAGATTAATTTTTCAATTTTTAATTTTAGGTTGGATTTTTTAATTATTATTTTTTGTTAGGTTATCATCAAGTGTAATTTTTTAGCAGTTAAAAATGTAAAACTTATATATGCTTTTTTTTTTTCTCTTTAAAACTTATTTATTCCCTTTTAAAGGCTTAAAAGTATAAAATTAAAGAGTATTTTAGAAGAAAATGAACAGGTTTTGAGGGAAAAAATGAACCATTTATAAATTTTAGTATATTTTTAATTATATACAAAGTTAAAAAATTAAATCAACCACTTGTAAATTATATATACTTCCGCCTTAGAATGGTTGAAAGCTTAAGAAAAATAACCCAATTTTAAATTAAAAAATAATTTAAAAGAAGTATGACTCTAAATTAAAAATTAACAGACTGATTTTAAAATAATATAAAATTCAGATAACACTAATTACTAACACTACCCTTATTGAAAAAAAAAGGTTTCCATTTTTAATTTATTTTTCAAAATTATTCTTTCCTTTTACACTAAAAAATCTTTACAAGTTATTTCTCTACGGAAAAAAAAAAAAAAAAGGAAAGCTTTTCTCACCTACCTTTCACTCTCCAAAACTTCAAATAATTCAAAAAAAGAAATACAAATTAATAGTCCGCAATAAATATTAATCAAAACCAAATCACCAAATTACACGTGTCCGAAAAAGAAGATCCTAGCTAGCTTAGGCTAACCAATGTGTCATTTTTCCATCGGTCACCCCCTTCCACCCAATAAAACCCCACCACGTGTACGACAACAACATTTTCAACCTTTTTATATCAAAACACGGTTGATAAAAGCCAGTTTTTTCTCAACAACGCGTCACCATATACCCTGTAATAATCCTTCACAAAGCCAGCTCCCTAGCCAGGCCAAAAAAATATTCAACCATTAACGACCATCTATCGCTGAAATTTTCTCCTTAAAACTTCCACCACAAAATTTGCATCTCATTCTCATCTTCTTCAATCCCATATTGCTAAATTCTTTTAGCGTGTGTTGTTCTTACTGTTACTGTTTTGTTTGATTGGACCAGGCGCCCAGGCTGGTTCGATCTCTAGGCAAAAACCGCATGCCAGAGATCGAAAATGTATCCGAAAACGCCTTGTTCGGCAAGTATGAAATTGGAAAACTCCTCGGATGTGGAGCCTTTGCTAAGGTCTACCATGCTCGAGATGTTCAAACAGGAAAAAGTGTTGCTATCAAGATTATCAACAAGAAGAAGATCTCTAACCCAAGCTTGATGTCTAACATCAAGCGGGAGATCTCCATCATGCGAAGGCTAAATCATCCCCATATCGTGAAACTAATCGAGGTCTTGGCTTCGAAGACGAAGATTTATTTCGTCATGGAGTATGTTAAAGGTGGAGAATTGTTTTCTAAGGTTGCTAAGGGAAGATTTAGCGAAGATCTTAGCAGGAAATATTTTCGTCAGTTGATTTCTGCGGTAGGTTATTGCCATTCTCGGGGGATTTTTCATCGAGATTTGAAACCTGAAAACTTGCTTCTTGATGATAATGGGAACCTGAAGGTTTCAGATTTTGGTCTAAGTGCTGTTACAGATCAGATCCGACCTGATGGGCTTTTGCATACGCTTTGTGGAACTCCTGCTTATGTTGCTCCAGAGATTCTGGGAAAGAAAGGTTATGACGGTGCTAAGGTTGATGTCTGGTCTTGTGGTGTTGTTCTATTTGTCTTAACAGCTGGTTTTTTGCCTTTCAACGATCCAAATTTGATGGTCATGTATAAAAAGATTTACAAAGGTGAATTCCGATGCCCTAAATGGATGTCTGCTGATTTAAAACGATTCTTTTCTCGGCTTCTTGATACCAATCCTGAGAGAAGAATCACCATTGATGAGATTTTGAGGGATCCCTGGTTCACGAAAGGGAAGCATAAGGAAATTAAATTCTACGGCGAGGAGTTCGATAAGGTTGATGGGAAAAAAGACGATGGACCAGCTTCCACAAGCTTGAATGCCTTCGATATCATATCTTTCTCCTCCGGCTTGAACTTATCGGGGTTGTTTGATGATTCATATAATGTGGTTGACGACGGAGAAAGATTTGTGTCGAGCGAGTCGCCGGAGAATTTGTTCAAGAAAGCCGAGGAGTTTGCCACGGAGGAGAGGTTAAGGGTGAAGAGAAGGAAAGAATGGGGATTGGAGATGGAAGGACAAAATGGTAATTTGATGATATCGGTCGATGTTTTCCGGTTAACCGATACCATGTTTGTCGTGGAGGCTAAGAGGATTGGTGGTGATGCTGGATGCTACAAAGAGATTTGGAAGAATAAGCTTAAGCCTGTGATCATGGCTTAATAATTAGAAGTACTAATTAATCAGCAACAGAGCCAGGTTTTTGCTAATTGGAACTTGATCATCTCTTGCTGACCATATGTTTGCTGTAATCTATTCTTTTTGTCTGACAAAAAAGAAAAGAAAAGAAAAACACTACGAATTAATGTTGTTAAATGTATTGTATTTGTACTTGTAATCTGTATTCTCAATAAAAGTTTCTGAGGTTTTTTTTCAATTTTTGCCTAGATTGATTCATTTCGCTATAGAAAATAACGTAATTTTTGTTGCTAGTTTTGTGACCTTTGTAAATTAGCTAGCTAGTTTTCTTAGCTTTGTGCGTAAAGAAGGTGGTTTGAACGATACTTTCCTTGTCTTCCCAGCTTAATTTATCTGCTAAAAGAAAGCAATTCCTCCAAGTTATTGATAGATTCTTGTTGCCGGTTGACGGAGGAATTTGATTTCTGGCAACGAACATGAGATTGCCGCTTGACGGAGGTCAGATGAAAAGATTTCATTTGGATAGCCCTAAGAGAAAGGCCGTCTCTCCATTGAAGAAATATGAACTGGCAAGGTTTGTTAAGAGGAGAAAACCTAAGAAGTGGAGTCTGGAGGAGGAAGATGCCTTGAGGGAGGCTGTAAAGAAGTATGTAGTTTTGTTAGACAAAGTGGCCAGTAATTTTTTGCTTTGTATAGTTTGATGGATCCTTATTCTTGCTCTTTTCCTTTTTTAAAGGTATGGTAAAGGAAACTGGAAGCTGATCTGGAACTCTAGACGTGATGTGTTTCAAGAGAGAACCGAGGTAAACAAGATCTATCATCGTGTAGTGTTTATGTTTAGCTGGCAATATTACTTTGTTTTAACATTGAGCATTATTCGTTTATTTTTCCCTTAATGATTTCTCCAGGTTGATTTGAAGGATAAGTGGAGGAACATGACAAGATACGGTTGATACTGCCAGCAAGTTTTAGGGTCTGGTTTCTTTTGTTTTTTGGCTGCTGTAAGATATAGATGTAGCACTCCAGCCCCCTTGATAATCTTTTCAGGTTTCCTACTCTCACCATGTGCACTTGTTATAACAACGCTAAGGGCTTGTATTTTGTAGGTTGGAAAGGAAGTGTAATCATGCTAAGCATCTTTTGGTTTTCTTATGCCGCAGGTTTTTGTAAGTATTTCGTCATGAAGGAAAACTGTGCAGTGTAGAGTTGCTTTTGACTTATGAACCAACTTGGAAATGAAATGTATATATAGTTTCTGTAGAAAATCTGAGACCTGCTAGTTAAAAGGTCTTTTGATGATTATATATTAGTAGCTTCTTCCGTCTGTTTGCCCCCTTTTTTCTTAGTTAAATATCCAAATTCCAATGCATATATTTGCTGTATATAATAGCATACCTAGCAAATCGAAAGAATTTCCAAGTAATTATTTAGTCCTTTTGGTTTCAAAGATCATAATTTAGTCATCTAACTAAAATGGTGACAGTTTAGTAATACTCATTAATGAAAATTTAACATAAGGACTCATAAGTTATAAATGGATTGGATATAAAAATATAAAGATGCACTATAGGGATTTTTAAAATAGAGGGACCCAATTATTTGGCTAAAAACAGTAGAACTATAATATAATTTACTTAGAAATCAGTTTGAAATTTCATTATTACATCAAAATTTAAAAATGTGGAAAGTTTGTTTTCTATACGTAGCTCACTACGCTGCATGTTTTTACCTGTATTTACCCAAAAAATTTCTCCCAATATTAACATGAAAAAAATATATATATAGATGTCTAATTAATTAACTCTAAATCTATCTAGGATAATTACTAGAAAAATTTTCTAAAAAGATTTATTTAAAAAAGGTACCAATTTATTTTAAATCTCTCAAATTCATAACAATATTTTCCTATTCCATACACTCAATAGTTAACCCCAACTTAACATAACTATATTATTTTGAATTTAAGAGATTTAAGAACATTTAACTTAACATCGAGTTAACTATTGAGTGTTTTATTAAAAGAATATTATTTTGAATGGAAGATTTAGAAATAAATTAGTTGAAGATTTAAAAATAAATAGATGAATATTTTAGAGGATTTTCCAATAACTATACTCAATGGACAACTACTAGAAAAATCCTATAAAAAAATCTTCTATCTAAAAAATGCATTAATAACAATATTTTTCTTAACACCGAGTTAACCGTTGAATGTTTTGATAAAATATATATATTTTAAATTTGAGAGATTTAAAAATTAATTGATACGGTTTTTAGATAAAATATTTTTTGTTAGAAAGTTTTTTTTGGTAATTATTTAATAATAATCACAGTTTATAGTTATTGGGTTCCATTTTCAAGGAAGGAGAATGAAAATAATGGAATGATTCTGTCTCCAACAACTTCATATAAGTTATTATTAATCTTGTCAAAGTGTGGACTAAGTCCCCAATCGCTCTCTTTTCATTTGTGTCATTGTGTGGTTGTTATTTGCTTGTTTGGGACTAGCATTTGGTTCTTATGGGTTATATCTCGGTACATTCAGATTTATGTCTATCAATATGTGGTTTAGTAGATTCAATTAATGAAAGCTATTTAAGTTTCTCATAATTTATTGGAGAACTTATTTAAAGTTTCATCTTTCTAATTGAACTCTGCTTCAACCAAAGAAGAAATTTTGGTAGATTATTATTGAATCACTTCTTCATTTCAAGGTAAAAGTTATGATCATCTATTAGGAAAGTAAAAGTTAGGGCATAGAATTAGACAACATGTTTATAATAAAAACACTTAAAATCCTCAAAACCCAAGCCCAATTTAGGATTCCAAAAGTAAAAAACCGAAGGGTCTCCCTTTGCTATCTCACATTTTAAAAAATCTACCCTAAGAAGAAACTTGAGGTTTTATATGTCTTTGTTAGATAACATATCTATATATAATTTATTTTATATTTTAATCTTAATATAAATATAATATGAGTCTATTTAGATATGTAATTAAGTGTAAAAGCCATAATTCTTTATGATAAACCTATTTATATGCCTTTTGAGTAAAAAGACAAAAAAAAAACAATTAAAAAACTTCACGTTTTTCCCATTTTTCCCGTTTTGTTTCAAGGTTGATTATAATGCACAACCTACTTTCGAAAAATGATAGTAAACTGTTGGACAATAATTGATCATTCTAGTCCAATTAAATTGAAATTATAGAAATAAGCAACTTAGTTCTCTATAATGTCGAATAACTTGTTGCCTTTATTTTGCAAAAAAAAAAAAAGAAAAAGAAAAAAAAAACCCTTTATAACAAGCAATAAAAACCTCGACCTATAGAATAGTTATTCCACAAAGAAATTCTAAATTAGGAACCAAATGCCCATGTCAAAAATTTAAATAAAATTATGAATTTAGAGCTTATTTGAAATCTTATTTTTTAGCTTTTAGGTAATTTTCTCATAGAAAAAAATTTGAAAGCATCAGCTAGGTGTTTGGTAATTAATTTTGTATTTCATTTCCTAACTTAACCATGAGTTTTAATTATATTAATTTAAATAGATTAATTAGATAAGATTAATTTTTAACCAAAATAATTTATACATAAATAGAACACACACCATTTTATCTTCTTAAATAACATAATTTATTTTTGATACCATAAAAAAATTAGAAAATTTTAAGAAAAATCAACATCATTCTACTAAAAAAAAAGAAAAAGAAAAAAGAAAAGAAAAATCAATATTTATCATAAATAAAACATCCAAAATAATTTTACTAGTTGCGAACTCAAGTCCTTTAGGTCCAAGCCTAATCCAAAAGTCCCTAACTCCAGTCTTTTGGGCCCAATCCTAACCCAAGAGTCGCTAACTCAAGCTCTGGAGGCCCAAGTCCAAAAATCCCATCCATCTTTATAAATAGCCCCCAAAATCCCTCTGCTGACGTCATAATCTCCAAATTCCTAATTTCTCACACACTCTCTCTCTCCGATCGAAAATGGTCCCAGCTCTAGCTCGCTCCCTCAGCGCCCGCCACCGTAATCTCTCCGTCCTCCTACCCAAACGCCACCTCACCACGTACATAACACATCCTCCCTCACCTCCTAGTCCTCCTCTCTACCGGCAGTCTCTACCCTCACTCTCTAACGATCTCCAATCCATCAATCAAACCACTAACTCTACCTGTTTCACTTCCATTCGATGCCTGGTCAACCTAGCCGGCAATCAATCTGGAGTTTGGAAACCTAATGTCACGCATATCCTTCGCCCATTATCTCGGCATCTTTCTATTTATACCCTAATGCGCTGTATTCCATTTTACATAGAATCTTCTGGATTTCCCTAACTACTATGGTTTTGTCTTTTTATTTAATTTTTATCAAAATGGGTTTCATTTGCTTCAGCTTTCCAATTTTCCACCATTCCCTCTTTTATTCATCAAAGCTGATCTAATCTCCCTTTGAAAAGATCGTGTGCAGGTGCGTGGCCTTCTATTGCTTACGACTGTTTTTTTTTTTTTTCCTGATTTCTTCTGAATTATAAACAATTCTGAATATGTCCTAATTTTACCATGATCCATACTTTTTCCGGAGTAATGAATGCTTTTTAAACAAATATTCCTAATGGGCTTAAGATTTCTAAATCAGAAAAAAAAAAAATCCCAAATAGAAGGCATTGACAAGAAATAAGGATCAATTAGAATCATTGACGGTTCACTTTCTTTTCAGTTGCATCACATGGTTATTTTTTACTGACCCTTTATTTTTATCTGATTTAGAGGCATGATATCAATTTGATTTGGTTAGATTGTTTCAAAGTACTGAGAATTGGCATACATGAACAATTGAAATGATTTTTTTTTTTTTTATCTGCTTAAAATATAAACAGGATATAACTTTCAAGTTGCAAATTGAAAGGGTATTACATTAAGCATGAGGTGGTATTGAAATTTTCAACTTTGTCATGTAATAAGAAAATATTATATACCATCACTAATACGAAAAGAATGATTAGAGCACAAAAGAAAACAGCAGGAAAAGAATTTGTTCTTTACTTAAATAGTCAAGATTCCGAAGTGATAAATGATTGCGGCCGAATATCTCTAATGCTTTCCGTGGTTCTTCTGTTGCGGGATCATGTTATTATGTAAACAAAAGTGGAAGTTAATGCAAACAAAGCTTTGAATTTCTTATATTTATGCTTACAGAAGTCAGAACATATGGTTTGAAGACCAAGGCTTCATTGAAGTTGCTGAATCAGGATGTGGACGCAAAAGCTGCTCGGAATAAAAACTTGGTAGCTCCTCAGGGCTTTGTTAAAGTGCTTGTGTAGGGGTTTTCTAAATAATCATGAAACGTTGCCAAACATTTTATACTTCTTTATAAGACTGCAACTAATTTGTTTCTGTTTCAGACTCGTTTAGAATTTCAGTGGTTACGATAACTGTATGTGTGGGTGTGCTTTACTCTGTGCATGTGAAAGGAATATATTTTACGCTTGTGTTTCAATGGTATTTTGACAAAGGTGCGGTGCTTAAAGTTTTTGGTAAGAAAAAACAATGGTGATGTTATAATCAATTTGTACTTTAATGCTAAAATGTTTAGCTTTGAATGCTAATGTCCTTGTATCAAGTTGTTCTCTCCATGCAGTTCTGTGCTTTATATCCTATGGAGATGCAGATCAGTGGTTTGCTAAGTGTTTTGACATAATTCATAGCACAAATTATAAGCACCTTAATCTTGGCCTAGATGATACAGGGTTGGTTGAATCTCTTTGTTTATGGCTCGCTGCTTTTTCTGTCTCAGTCCGTCATAGCAGAACTTTATTGGTCGTAAAGCATGTTATTTGCGTTTTGTGTAACTATCTAGCTGAATTTTTCCTTGAGCTTTACATCTGATTGTTGCATTTTTTGATGTGTCATTGAACTAGAAATCTAATGGTTAAGAAAAAAGCTTGATAACATCT